TGGGAAGCAGTAGAAATGAGATTCAAAGTCGGCTGGGCTCCAGGGCCTCTGCTTTCTCCCAACGCCTCCTGCAACCCTTTCAGACCCCGCAGGATCCCAAAGCAGGTTTGACCAATATCCCTACATCATGATGCTCTTCAGGCAAGTCAGCACCCCTCTCTGGGGCCTCTGTTTCACCACCTAGAGAGAATAACTGGGGAGCAGGCCAACTGCTCTTGGAGGGCCTGCCCCTTGCAACTCTGCGAGTCTGATTTGAGAGGTGTGGTGCTTCCAGCTGAAAGGGCAGATTCATAGCCTGGGAACGCCTTGGCCTTGGCCTGGGGTTGCAGCCAGGGAGGGTGAGAGGGACTGGAACTGGCAATGGAATGAAGGAGAAACATGGGGAGACTATGGAGGGCTGTGGGGGCCATGAACCTGTGAAGTGGCAGTGGTATAAGCAGACGAAAAAGTAAAAAGAGCCCTCTGTGGGCCTCCCAGGGGGTCCTGTCCTTCTCCCAGGGGTCATTCCAAAGCTCAGGGTAGACACGTGAGCACGTTGGGCAAAGAAGCTGGGGTCAGACCGGCCATGAGCCGAGGTCAGAATTTCTGAGACACAGCAGTCTGGGGGATTAACATTGCTGGGGGTTTTGTTGTCTCTGTAAATAGTTGGAGACGTCCAGTTATTCTAGAAAAATGTATTTGAAGCAGGGTGGTGTGTTTGTGTGGTTGGCCTGGCTTCCTTTTCCATGACCGCTCTGTTACATTCCTCCCTTCAGGAACTGGAGATTGGTTTCCCATCTGCAGCTTCATTAGAATAGACACACCAGCGGGCTCCACACCCACCAGCACTCGGGCAGGCTCCCTTTGGGGACACACACACATGTGGGCATTGCCCTCTCGCCACACGCTTATGCACACACAGTCGCAGCTGCACCTTTCAATATTTAATGACATTGCCGTGAACGCTGCTCCATGCTGACTGCATTCGTGCCAGGCTCATTTCTCTGGGGGAGCTGGTTCCCGGCTTAGAGGCTGGCTGACAAATCGTGTTAAAAACCCACCAGCCCAATGCACCCCGCAGAGGATGGTCATGCCATGTGGTTATAAGATTAGAGAACGAACGTCATTTCCAGGCAGGCTCCATTTGCAACCAGGCTCTTTTCACTTGAGAAAATGGATGGAATCACCTTTCAAGTGAATGTCTTAGCCCTCACCCCTATCCCCCTTCCCTGGATCCAGCTTGGGGTCCTTAGACACCTCCCCATGTATCACTGGGTATCTTGTGGGCACCAGGGCACCCAGTGACTTGGTTGCCTGGCCTATGTGTAGGGTAGTATCTGTTTCTCTGTACCCACTCCATTATAATGGGTTTTTACACTGCTGTGGTTTGAATGGATATGTCTCTCCAAACTTCACATGTCGCAATGTAAGCCCCAAGGTGATGATATTAGAAGATGAGGCCTTTTGGGAGTGATTAGGTCATGAGGGCTCTACCCTCATGAATGGGATTAATGACCTTATAAAAGAGCTGGAGGAGGAACCAGCAGTTAGCATAATGGCTATGTCACTGGACTCCCATGTAGTCGCCCATGGTTCGAGTCTTGGGCTTGGCGGCTTAAATTCACACCGGGCATGTGTGCGTGCATGCCCAAAATCCAGAGAGGGGAATGGAGGAGAAGGGATTGCAGTGTGACCATCCTCCCTGGGGAGGTGATTTCTTGCTTTCTGTCTCTCTGTCTCTCTGTGTCTTTCTGGCGAGCACATGTGCCCCGTAGCAAAAACAAAACAAAACAAACCAACCAAACAAAAAAACTGGAGGAAACTACAAACAAAAAAGACTAGAGGAAACTAGCTAGTCCCTTTTTGCTTTTCTGTCCTTCTGTGTGAGGACACAGCATTCACTCCCTCCAGAGGATGCAGCAATAAGGTGCCATCTTGGAAACAGAGCCAGGCTCCACCAGACACTGAATCTGCTAGAGTCTTGATTTTGGATGTCCCAACCTCCAGAACTGTGAGAAATATATTTCTATTGTTTATGAATTACCCAGTCTGTGGCACTTTATTTGGGCAGAAGGAACGGACTGACACAGTGTGGGGGGAGGCAGTGCTGCTACAATGGCCAGTAGAGGGGATCACGGGTGGGTGTTACAACTCTTAGTATCTAGTAAAGAGTCCCATCCTAGACCCCTTAATCCATCAGGCTGTTGCTTTTGACCCCAAAGAAAGGCCCTCCCTCCAAACACCAGTTGTGGGAGTCTGAGGGAATGACAGGGTCAAGGGATCTAGTTTGAAGCTGAGCTGGAATAGGTGAGCAGGCCAGCGTTCAAATGCTGTTAAGTGTTGAAAGAGTTCCCAGACATAGAGGTTACTGGGACAACTTAATTTTTCCAAAGCTCTATTCGGATAAGTGTCTTCACTTCACTGCTGACCACACAGACTTGGGTCCTATTCCATGAGCTCTGGAAGGATATTTGCAAGATGGACACCCTCCTTCTACCTCTTTCAGCTTCTTAGACCTGTGTCATTGCATAGACTCGGAGCATCGCTCTGTGACCTTGTGTGTCTGATCATCTCTGAGAAATGAAGATTGAAGGAAGGAGGAGAGGACAGAAGTGGGGGCAGTCAAGTGGGGTCTGTGGGATTGCAAAACAAGAACACACACATTTACCATTTACCCAAGTTTTTTTTTTTTTCCTTTTAAAACCATTGTTTTCTCAAGGGAAAACTTTTATTCATGTGTGAATAAAATGTGCTTTCTTAATGAATTGAAAACAGAAATGAGGAGCCTTTGTTCCGATGACAAATATCAAAGAAGCCCATTGGCCTTCAGCAGCCAGCATTGTCACCCCCCACCCCCACCCATCCCCTAACCTCCTCCCTGTCCTCTCCTCCCATGCTAGTAAAGCCAAGACCTGAATGCATGTCATCCTCACTGCACAGCCCTGGTTGGGGACATGGCTTTGTTCAGATTGAGGCAGCTGGTTTGGCTTGCAGGAAACACCACATCCTTCCCTGTCAGGGGCCTGGGAGAGCAAAGCCTAAGGAGAGATGACAGCAAGGGGACAAGTACACGCTTGGGGCAGCCTGGAGGCTGTCATTTCTTGCTGAGTTGGATGACAATGAAAAAGGGGAGATAGAAGGAGGAATTCAGAGTTACTGAAATCCCTATTTCCCTGCCAAGCCAAGAAGTCTCTCTACCATCTCTGATCTTGGAGACAAGACTTGGTTTTCTGGAAGAATTGACCTCAGTCCTTGACAGTCCTCAAAGCTCTGGGATGACTGTCTTACAGGCCAGAAGAAGGTTCATTCAGGGGAACCAGCCCACTTCCACTACCCTAGCTCTCACCAATCTGTCTCCACTCCAGCAGCTGTGAGTGGTTTCTTGACTTTCACTTTTGGTTTTAGGTTTGGGGATACAGCCTTGGTTAGGGAGAGTTGCCAGTTCTGGCATTAGCTTATTAGCCACATCTCTTTTAACCTTGGTCGAGGTAGCTAGGGTTGGGGTTAAGCTTCTTCTGGGGCATGGGTTTTCACACGGAGATCAACCTTAATGGCCAGAACTGCTTTTCCCTCAGCAGCTTTTGGGTGGGTCCAGAGTCATTGTATCTGCTCCCTGTTTTCACCTCAGGGGCCTGGGAAGAGGTCCTTCTAGTCCAGGCAGAGGAGTTGCCTATGGGGAAAAGGTGGTGGTGGTCTCAGCCTCCACACTCATTGAGGAACGCCCGGTGTGCCTGCAGGAAGACCATTGCCGGAGCCTCTCCTGGCTGAGGCAGCCCAAGTCCTTAAAGAGTTTGAAGAGGTCATTGCGAAACTTGACCCCAATGAAGGCATACAAGAAAGGGTTGATGCAGCAGCGAACACAGGCCAGGCTGTAGGTGACATCGTAGGCGATGTTGAGCTGCTTGCTGAGCTCACAGGTGCTGTTGCTCACAGTCTGGGCCAGGACCACCCCATTGTAGGGCAGCTGGAAGACTATGAAGACGACAACCACAGCAATAATCACCTTGATAGCCTTGTTGCGCTCAAAGTTGCGTGCTTGGAGCAGGGTGCGGATGATGACAAGGTAGCAGAAGCTCATGGCCAACAGGGGGACCAGAAAGCCTATCACCATCTGGGCCACCTGGATGGTGATCAAGGCCTCCACACGCTCAGTGATAAGTGAGCATCGCAATGCTTGCTCATTGCTGCTCCTCTGGGTGCCACTGTACAGCAGCTCAGGGATGGACAGCATCATGGCCAGCATCCAGATGCCCACACAGGAGAGTTTGCTGATGAGAAGCACACGGGCACGGTGGCGGTGAGCGGAGACTGCCTGAACAATGGCCACGTAGCGATCAATGCTGATGCAAAGAAGGAGGAGCATGCCACTGAAGAAGCTCATCTTGTAGATGCCAAAGATGAGTTTGCAAAAGTGGACACCAAAGATCCAGGACTTGGCTGCACTGTAGGCCCAGAAGGGAAGGGTCAGGAGGAAGAGGATGTCTGCCATGGCCAGGTTGAGTAGGTAGGTATCAGTCATGGTCTTGAGCCTCTTGAAATAGACATAGGTCAACACAACCAGCCCATTGCCCATGAGGCCTATGAAGCAAATGATGCTATACATGACTGGGAGGAACCAGGCCTTGAAGTTTCGCACATCCTGCTTGAAGCACACAGTCTCAAAAATGGTGTAGTCCACAGTGGTGTTTTCTCCAGTGTAATCATCTGTGACCTCATCTTGGCACAGGCATACCTGCGGGGAAGGGGACGGGGGAGAAAACAATCCAGCTTAGCGAGGCAGGTGCAACCCTGGCTGGGGTTTAGCCTAGATTGCAAAACAAGAACACACACATTTACCATTTACCCAAGTTTTTTTTTTTTTTTTCCTTTTAAAACCATTGTTTTCTCAAGGGAAAACTTTTATTCATGTGTGAATAAAATGTGCTTTCTTAATGAATTGAAAACAGAAATGAGGAGCCTTTGTTCCGATGACAAATATCAAAGAAGCCCATTGGCCTTCAGCAGCCAGCATTGTCACCCCCCACCCCCACCCATCCCCTAACCTCCTCCCTGTCCTCTCCTCCCATGCTAGTAAAGCCAAGACCTGAATGCATGTCATCCTCACTGCACAGCCCTGGTTGGGGACATGGCTTTGTTCAGATTGAGGCAGCTGGTTTGGCTTGCAGGAAACACCACATCCTTCCCTGTCAGGGGCCTGGGAGAGCAAAGCCTAAGGAGAGATGACAGCAAGGGGACAAGTACACGCTTGGGGCAGCCTGGAGGCTGTCATTTCTTGCTGAGTTGGATGACAATGAAAAAGGGGAGATAGAAGGAGGAATTCAGAGTTACTGAAATCCCTATTTCCCTGCCAAGCCAAGAAGTCTCTCTACCATCTCTGATCTTGGAGACAAGACTTGGTTTTCTGGAAGAATTGACCTCAGTCCTTGACAGTCCTCAAAGCTCTGGGATGACTGTCTTACAGGCCAGAAGAAGGTTCATTCAGGGGAACCAGCCCACTTCCACTACCCTAGCTCTCACCAATCTGTCTCCACTCCAGCAGCTGTGAGTGGTTTCTTGACTTTCACTTTTGGTTTTAGGTTTGGGGATACAGCCTTGGTTAGGGAGAGTTGCCAGTTCTGGCATTAGCTTATTAGCCACATCTCTTTTAACCTTGGTCGAGGTAGCTAGGGTTGGGGTTAAGCTTCTTCTGGGGCATGGGTTTTCACACGGAGATCAACCTTAATGGCCAGAACTGCTTTTCCCTCAGCAGCTTTTGGGTGGGTCCAGAGTCATTGTATCTGCTCCCTGTTTTCACCTCAGGGGCCTGGGAAGAGGTCCTTCTAGTCCAGGCAGAGGAGTTGCCTATGGGGAAAAGGTGGTGGTGGTCTCAGCCTCCACACTCATTGAGGAACGCCCGGTGTGCCTGCAGGAAGACCATTGCCGGAGCCTCTCCTGGCTGAGGCAGCCCAAGTCCTTAAAGAGTTTGAAGAGGTCATTGCGAAACTTGACCCCAATGAAGGCATACAAGAAAGGGTTGATGCAGCAGCGAACACAGGCCAGGCTGTAGGTGACATCGTAGGCGATGTTGAGCTGCTTGCTGAGCTCACAGGTGCTGTTGCTCACAGTCTGGGCCAGGACCACCCCATTGTAGGGCAGCTGGAAGACTATGAAGACGACAACCACAGCAATAATCACCTTGATAGCCTTGTTGCGCTCAAAGTTGCGTGCTTGGAGCAGGGTGCGGATGATGACAAGGTAGCAGAAGCTCATGGCCAACAGGGGGACCAGAAAGCCTATCACCATCTGGGCCACCTGGATGGTGATCAAGGCCTCCACACGCTCAGTGATAAGTGAGCATCGCAATGCTTGCTCATTGCTGCTCCTCTGGGTGCCACTGTACAGCAGCTCAGGGATGGACAGCATCATGGCCAGCATCCAGATGCCCACACAGGAGAGTTTGCTGATGAGAAGCACACGGGCACGGTGGCGGTGAGCGGAGACTGCCTGAACAATGGCCACGTAGCGATCAATGCTGATGCAAAGAAGGAGGAGCATGCCACTGAAGAAGCTCATCTTGTAGATGCCAAAGATGAGTTTGCAAAAGTGGACACCAAAGATCCAGGACTTGGCTGCACTGTAGGCCCAGAAGGGAAGGGTCAGGAGGAAGAGGATGTCTGCCATGGCCAGGTTGAGTAGGTAGGTATCAGTCATGGTCTTGAGCCTCTTGAAATAGACATAGGTCAACACAACCAGCCCATTGCCCATGAGGCCTATGAAGCAAATGATGCTATACATGACTGGGAGGAACCAGGCCTTGAAGTTTCGCACATCCTGCTTGAAGCACACAGTCTCAAAAATGGTGTAGTCCACAGTGGTGTTTTCTCCAGTGTAATCATCTGTGACCTCATCTTGGCACAGGCATACCTGCGGGGAAGGGGACGGGGGAGAAAACAATCCAGCTTAGCGAGGCAGGTGCAACCCTGGCTGGGGTTTAGCCTAGAGCAGTAGTCCCAAACTCAGGTCCCCATCATCAGCATCATGGGCGTCACCTGGGAACTTGCTAGACCCTACGTGAGACCCACTGAACCAGAATCTCATGGGTGGGGCCAGGGATCTGTACTTTTCCAATATTTCCAGGTGATTCTTTGGTTAAAAAATTCTGGGTTTTTCAAATTTTAATCTGCATTTGAATTACTTGGGAGATCTTGTTCAAATGTATGTCCTGATTCAGTAGGCTGGGTTGGGGCCTGAGATTCCACATTTCTACTCATCAGTAGAACGTGCCAGCTCGGAGAGACTCAACCTTATGTGTGTTGAAGATGGACTGATGAGGGTCAGATGAGCCTTGAGCTGGTTAAACATCCTTCCTCTGAGCTTCAGTTTTCTTGTTGTGAAATAGAGACCAGAGCCCAGCAGGCGATGTAGTGGTTAAGGTGCTGGACTCCCACATGGTCAATTGCGATTTGAGTCCCAGACCTGGTGGCTTGAAACTCATGCTGGGTGCATGTGAGTGCATGCCCAAAATCCCGAGGGGAGAATGGAGGAGAAGGGATTGCAGTGTGGTCATCTCCCCTTCCGGGGGTGATGTCTCACTTTCTGTCTCTCTGTCTCTCCAGTGAGTGTACATGCCCTATAGCAATCTCTCTCTCTTAAAAAAACA